TGAGTTTGCGGGAGTGAAGCAAATGTTTCAATTAAGCTCTGTGGAAATCTTCAATTTGACGAAATTGCAAGCGAAATGCTTAATAATTGGACCGTGGCTTTAATTACGGAATGAAAAGAGTACTTTCTTTGAAATTTTTTGCTGCCTTAGTTAACAGCTACGCTTGTCGTCACACAAATTAACAGGAGATAGTACCCGTATGTGAATAATTGTAGGAATAAATACATGTATATGAAAGGCTTGAAACAGTAACTGTAAATATTGCTTTAGAAATAGCTTCATCTTCTATTTCACAAGCTGTGTGTAAATCAATGTCAAAACCAAATTAAAATTTTCAAATATTAATATCTATTTCAATACCTACCAAAGATAGCTCCATAAAACAGAGCTTAATGATATTTTAGAATATATGGAATATTGAAATACCAATCCTGTACGATTGTCTGTTCTTTATAGAGATAGTTTTTGATGTAATACGACAACCCTAAGGTGTTTCTTTAATATAAACCTTTAATCATTTAGGCCACATTACTGTAAACTAGAGCAACCCATTCAGAAGGCAGATCTACTTCAATCTCTTGCTTGCGTCAGCATCTGTTCTTTATAGAGATAGTTTTTGATGTAATACGACAATCCTAAGGTGTTTCTTATATATATATATAAAACCTTTAATCATTTAGGCCACATTACTGTAAACTAGAGCAACCCATTCAGAAGGCAGATCTACTTCAATCTCTTGCTTGCGTCAGCATCTTTGGCACTGCACTTTAAATACTTTTGCCATTTGGGCGAACGCTTATACCAGTACTCCCATTGTTGGCAAGTGCATTATAAAAGCATTAAAATGCATGCACCCGAGACAGCAAGAAGGAGAGAGGGAGAAAGGGAGAGAGACAAAGTGAGAAATAAAACCTAAGAGCGTAGCCAAATTGACAGAAACTGCAAACAGACGAACTGACACCCACAAAAATATCAGCAGAGAAAATTCGCTTTGTCACGCTTGCCAACACACTCTCGCACTCTTACACAGACACATACGCATCTATACACACACACATATGCATGCAAAGAGAGCATTCTGATGGCAGAGGCATTTGCAGCTGTTTCGTCCCTCAAGCTCTGCTCAGCTTTTTTCATGCTCCGCCTGACGAAATGCCATTACACATTTTGCGTACCAAAAACAACAACAACAACAACAAGAACAGCAGCAACAATGGAAACAACTACGACAATTCGCATTCAAAACGACGACAACAACAACATCAAAAAAAAACACACACACACAGAGAGAGAGAGAAAAATAAACGCTTGGGGTTGTAGAAATGAAGATAAGCTGCTTATCAGCGCCATTGCTGGCTGTCATGGTTGTTGTTACTACTATTATTGTTGTTGTTCATATTGTTGTTTTTGTCCTTACTACTGCGCTTTAAGTGAACTGCTCCTGTGGCGACTATCTGCCCAACCATCCTCCCTCTCTCGCTCTCTCTCTATTGCAGCCACTATTGTTTAGCCGCTGCTCTTTCATTGTCGTTGATTTTGGTGTTTGTTTTGTTTAAGCTTTTGACTTAGAGCTCCTGGTCCTTGTCCTGGTCGTGGTCCTGGTCCTGGTCGTGGTCATTTTGTTGTCCTTTTTGCCATAAAAGAATACCACTATGCCGGCCAGCTTTTTGTCGCATGGCGTATACAACAATTGACATTTCTGCTACTTTGCGTTTAATATTAAATAAACTAATGTGTGTTGCGACATTCCCCTCCTCCCCTGCCTCCTCATGATGCCTGCTGCCACTTCTTATGTGTATTTAAATGATATCGTTTGTATATGCAAATGTCGTTGGTGGCCAACCAACTCAATTTAGCTCAGTTTCCCTGCTCCCAGTTTCCATCGCTGGCTGTGTCTTGGCTTTTAGCTTAACTTTTGCGCTCTTGATGGCAAAATAATTTGCTTAAAATGCAATGCTAATGTGGCTCTCTAGTTGGCTTTTGGCTACGTCTATATGTAAGTGTATGTGTTTGTGTGTGTCTGTGTGCGTGTCTGCTTTAAGTGCTTACATTTTGCTCAATTTGGTTGGTAAATGCTTGGTATGTCTAATAATTTCAGGTGTAATAGCCCAGCCCCAAGCAATGTGATAGGATTCTAAATGGGAAATTTTCGTATTAAATTGGCAATGGTACAAAAGAGTACAAGAGAGCAGAAATCCAAATAATTCTCGAATGAATAACTCAAACAAAACTCTAAAACTTTAAAACTAGGTTGCTGGAATTTTCTATCTGAAATTTTGAACCCTGAAAAAAGTAGATATTGCCTTTTTTTGGCCAAAATGTTAAAAATCATGTGTGGTAAATTAGTAAGAGGCTTGTGCACTGTCGAAGGCTATCAATAAATCATATCATTATTTCCTATCTGAGATATCAAACTCTTTGCTTAATAAGGCATTATATTCTCATATTTTTAACCCATACAAGTAATTTGTTTTAAGTGCACTTCAAGCATTCCAGCAACAAAGTTATAATAATTGCTTCGTCTTAAGGTAACACTCTTCTTATAAACAATTGCTATTTCCATTTGAATTAAGTCTATTACAAACCAGTTGAAGCACATATTTTAAATGTAATTTCTGCCATCACAGTTAATTCCAAAATTTAATCTTAACTTTGTCTGCTCCATTCATTGCCTTCTCCGCTTTAGCTGAATTCTACAGAGCACGTAGCATGCTTTTTCGCTCTTCACTCATCACTCGTATTAATGCCGAAAATGGGCGCCGCAAACTCTTTTTATTTCAGCCATTTCATGTGTACTATATGTGTGCCTAAGCGCCTTAAATCTCAAAACATAATTACACGCAACGCAACAGCAAGACAAAAGTCCGGCATGGGGTGTTGTTGCATCGCAGCCACTGCCCTGACCCCCTTTTTTGGAAAAGTTTTAATCACAGCTGACTGGCCGTGCGTGAGTGCGCTGCCAATGGACGCTATCTAAAGCTATGCCAATTTCAAAAATGTGTGCCCCAAAAAATTCCACTTTGCTGCTGTGTTTAACCGCGTGAAATAATCTTTGCTGGCAGCAGTCATTTTGCACCATAGACCCGTCCCTATCCCCATCACCATCACCATCCCCACCTCCACCCCCCCATTCCCACAGTCTGCACGCGCAACTACATTGTTGTTGTTTTTGCAGCAGGCATTCAGGCGCGTTTCATTATAACGAAAATCCGCAGCCTGCGGCCAGTCAGCCACAGAGTCTCCCAAACGAGACGAGAAGAGATGTGGAGATGAGAGGAGGGAAGAGACAAGGAATAGAGAAAAGTGGGCAGCCAAGTTGGTGTCATATTTTCCGCAGCTTAAATTTCCAAACAGGCGCTGGCCACTTTTGCTTTACTTTGTCCTGCAACTTCCTCTTTATTCCTGTTTTGTTGTTGTTGTTGTTTTTTTTTGGTGGCGGCTTTTCAGGCTTCTTCTCATCTTCTGGCACAATGCGATTATGCGCTGCTGGTTCTGATGCTGCTACTGTTACTTCCAACTAACTAAACTAAGTAACCAGCATTGTATACGCATACTATATTCGCTATGTATGTGTATATAAATATATAGCCCGCTTATAGGCGCGGCACCACGCTATTTTCGCGCCCTACAAATCTCAACGATTTCTTGCATCTTGTTGCCCGTTGGCGCGTCCGTTTGTGCTGTCGCTTTTTATTATTTTGTCGCTTTTGCTTTTGGCATTTTGAATTCGTAAACAGCGACATCCGGTCCATACACACACACACACATACACACACACTAACAAGCAGATACTTTTTTAAGCCTATAAATGAGCTTAAAATTTTCTATGCGAATGAATGCGAATGCTTTTGAAATTTATTATACAGCGAATTCAGCAAGTAGGGAAGGCAGGCATAAAAGCCACACACACACACACACATATACACACTTATATAGCTATGAGTGTGTATATATTTCAAAGGCATTTGGCCAGACGTCTATCTGCTCGACGGCGTTAAAATTTTTTAGCAAAGCAAATTGAATTTCATTTCGATTTTTGTTGCCGCTCGTTTGTCGTCAGCCGTCTTTTTATACTTAAATTGCCTTTTGCTTGGTAATTTTTATTTTATATACGAGTACATACATATCTTGTTGAATCTTCGTCGCCGTCGTTGTCATCGCAACAACAAATAATATAATTGAATTTTCTATGCTGTTAAATAATTTCATTTTTATTTTTTAGCATGCTTCCAATGTGACTGTGATTGCACATCTAAACGCACAGACAAATAAACCATCCTTACAACTCATACTAAATTCGGTATATCCCTGTGAACATTTTCTGTCTGTAAAGTAGCGGCAATGTTTCTTCTGAATCTTATTTCGCTATTCAAATGATTGTCTTCACTCATTGGGAAGATAATGATATTGTTTTCTGGCCACATAGTGTTAAAACATTACGCAACTTTTCGAAAGTTCGTAGAGTGATATCAATATATTTTAATCGTGTATAATCTTTCAATTTGCCTGCCAAAGCAGGCTTTTTCATACAAATGAACATCAGATCTTCCTCAAATTGTTTACAGGGACATGCAGTTGAACCTTTTTAAATATTCATAGCACAAATTGAGTGTCAAATGTACAGTGATTTTTGTTTTGTTTTAAATGCATTTGGTTTTGTTTTATTTCATTTTTTTGTGGGTTGTATGTTCTATTTGTGAGTACATATTACAAATGCATTTTTCATAGAAAGCATTTATTGCCAAAACGAACTAATTCTTGATACGAAAATTTGCAGGGACATTTGAAACAAATTTTTGCATAAATACCTAATGCAGTGGCGCACAATTGAGCTTTGATTTAGGGGAACTCCGTATTTATATAATTTGTCTATTTCTCAGCATTTAACATTGTCGTTACTAACCAGCGTCCATTTTACCTTGTGTACACATGTATAGTAGTATTGTATTTTTAATCAATGACTTACTTCTCCATTCTTTCTTTTCTATTGCTACTTGCAGGCTTTCTCCTTGAAGGAGTCGCAGCGGCACCACCAGATGTACCCCCACGCAATCCGACAATGAGTCGCATGAATAATGGTCGTTTAATTGCCGGCGTTGGTAATAATCCAAATGATTTGGGTGTTGATTTTGAGCCATCGTGTTTGGTGCGAACACCATCGGGCAACGTTTACATTCCTAGTGGAAATATAAGTGAGTACTCGCAATCAATTAGAACGCTCGACCAAATTCCATGCTAAATGTATAAAGCACATATACCATACTATAAATAAAAAAAAATAAATATATATCTGCCATAACTTTCTATTGGAGGCCATTTGCCTAAAAGCCAGGCCAGGCCAGGTCAGGAGAGGCGGAGACCGCTGCGCAAAAAAGCCAACACAGCAATTTTTCTAGCCGCCATTTCTAGACGTCATATGCAAATCCCCAACCCCATTCCCAATCACCTACCGACCGCTCGGTGAAAGCCACTTGACTCATTTAAACGTTTAGCGCTCGTGCACAAAAATTCCATTTGCCATATTGCGATAAAAATGCAAAGAACAGAAGAAAAGCAACAACAATATAAAAAACGAAATGGAAAACAGAAGGCATTGCCGCATTGCTTTTTGCAAATTTTCAGCTCTTTTGTTGCTGGCATTGGAGCGCAGTGCGCCTAAAATGCCGCCATATATTTGCCATTTATTGTTTTGCCAACAAAAAGTACCTACACACACACACATGTACACACAGGCACACGCACACTCCCACTCGCACTCACATTTATAGATATGCATGTACATATAGGCGGTGTTTGTTTGTGTATTTTGTGCTCATGCATATCCGCAAGCGAGCTTTAGGGATAGAACACATTCAAAGTGGAGTGAAAATAGTCAGCAACAATAACAAAACACCAAAGACAAAAAAACAGCAATGGCGGCAGTGGGGGCGGTGGGAGCATCGCGAAACAAACCGAAAAATGCCAAACTGCTAAAGTGCCAAAGGGCAATTTTGGGCGCGAGTGCCGCCAACTGACTGACTGACTCCAGTAACAACAAAAAAGTGGAAAAACTTGCGATCGGGGTGAAGAGCTACCTCTACAATAGCATAAATAATAAAAACAATAACAAAAATAAACTAACAACAAACAATAAGAACGCAAAGAGATTTTGGCTGATGTGGGAGACTTAAAGTGCCTATTAATGGGCACTAGAGCAATAGTCTTTTCTAGCATAGGTAAATAGTTATAACAGCTGCCAGATATGTGAAATATTTCAAGTAATATTATTAATATGAGCTTAATTTTTTCTCCATTTATATACAATATTTTACATCTAATCGTTATCAATTTATAAAACTTTTAAATTTATCTAAGAGTGTACTATTTGCTAATAACAAACCAATTTTTTTCTACGAATATTTTTATAAAATATTGTGCTTGAAAGTATTTCAGGCATTTCTCTTTGATGTACAATACACACTTGCTGCATTCAATTGCTTTCTGCTTGCATTTGTTTTTAATGCTTCGGTTTCACTTAAAAAAATTTGAGAAACAAAAATTCGATTGTTCTGTTTTATTGTGCCAGCAATACACACTAAATAGGCGGTTGGTCTTCTAGAAAAGTAACAACAAATACGCAACGGCAAGTAATAAAGCAAACATGCGTTTGTGTGTGTCCAGTTGGTACATAGTCCGTATGTATAGCATACTTTTGGGCTGTGCCGTTGCGTCTGTTCGTAAGTATGTGCGTGTGTGTGTGTGTGCGTATTTGTTTTATACCGCTTTTGTTGACTTTTTTGCATTGTACAAATTGTATACAGAAGCTCTGGCATCTGCTTTATGCATGCATACACACCACACACACACACACACACACACACATGTATGCCTATGTATATGTAAGTGGCATGTCTTTGTCTTGATTTTGCTGCGTGCTTTTCAGCCATATAATTTTCGTTCGCTCCTTCTTTCATTTGGCATTCTATTTCTTATTCTTGCTTCCGTTTTTTTCTTTTTTTGTTTTCGCCCAGTTATTTGTTTTGTGCGGTGCTGGGACGCAGCTGTATGTTTTTTTTTGTTTTGTTTTTTTGCTTGGCTTTCACTTTGTTTGCCTCTCTGCTGCTGCTTGTGCTATTTCCTCTTTGCGTGCGCCACATTTGTGTTGCATACTTTCGAGCGTTTCCGAGCTTAAAATAAAATGAACTGCTAGAGTTTCAGTGAAATATGCAGATGTGCGTAGTTTACTTAAATCGGGTCAAATTTCTAAGCAAGCATTTCATATCATTTTTTATCATTTAACAAAAATTCCGATTTGTATGCACTTTTGTTACTTTTGCTTCAAGCGAACTCATCAGCATGAGTGTCTCATATATATCTTCTATATCAGGCATTTATTTCTGCCTCTGTTCGTATTCGTGGAATTCCAATCTTTAATATACACCTCGTTGTGCATTAATGGCCACCTTACCTGCCCTCACATACCCTACACTTACACACTGGCATTGCTTTAGTGGATGGCGGCTAAGGCTTTTTAAATTGAATAAATTAATATTAAATATACGCTTATCCAATTGCGTTTTGCATATCATTCGGACATTTGAACAGGCCAAAAGTGCTATTAAATGACAATTTATGAAATTCTATTTGCATTTTGTGTACAAATTGATCAACATCTGATTCGAAAAATAAACTCACGCACGCGCTCACGCACGAGTTACACATATTGATGAAATTTTGTGCAAATTGAGATTTCGTCGCACATTTGTTTGTTTTGCATTCGACCGTGCTTTTAAGCCACACCCATATGTATGAAGCATATATTTTCATTTCATTCATTTTTGGCGCGTTGGCCGCACTTTGCGCCGATTTTTATGCAAAAATATTATTTGTTGACTTTTGGCACTCACTCGCACGCACTCGACGCGCAGAAATGAAGTAGAAGTTGGATATGGAAATGGAAAATGCGACTTCAGCCTCAATATATTTCTCTACCTGTCTTTTTTAAAAAACAAAAAACGCTGAACCAAATGGTTTTGCCCATATTATGCTATAGTTTAAAATTTGGTGCCTCTGCATTTTTTTTTTTTTTTAATACGACCTGGGATGGGGACTCGAAGAACAGCGGGAATGGGTTCGAGACTGGGACTATGGCATGAAAAAATGCTTATGCGCCATATGCAAATACATACGTAAATGGGAATTCAGCACGATTGGTTGGTTGGCCAACTGGCAGTCCAGGCGAGTTATCATAAGGCAGGCAAAAAGTTTTTGCAAAAGTTAAAAACATATACACATATACACTTATAAAAATACATTTCTGTATGTGGAGGAGAAAAAATTTTATAAATTGCCGCAGCACTGTAAAAAAAAAATAACTTAAAACGATAATAAACAAACAAAAGCGAGTAGAATGCCAAAGAAGCATCAGTACGACTCTTAAATACGCTATATCCACTCCGGGTCCCGCCACAGCCTGTGGACTGAATTAAACTTTGGATGAGTTTTCAAGCGATCTAGTTATTTAGCGATGTGTAATTTGCGGAATTTCAAAAGAACTGTGTTCCTACTTACAAACAGACGATTTTCTTAAATATTTATTATATACATGTATGTAGAATTTTTAATATACCCTTTCACCTTTGGGTAGAGGGTATACAAAAATTTACCCATTTACATACTCAACAGAAGTCGACATATTGATGTGCTGCCCGATATCGTTGCACCAATTGCTCTCCCGCCACTTTCTCTCGCTACTACTCTTGCCGTGATTCAGCGATGTTTTTGTTGCTTCAGTTGGCGCAATTCAAGCAGCAAGCGAACAACGAAAATGTGTTGCATACTTTTGTGCATGCCAAGCATAGCACCAGCTGTTGTATGTGTGAGTGCTGAGTCGACACTTAAAGCTCTAAATTGCACAGTGAACAGTAGAGCTGTCGCATACTTTTGAGAGTACTATATGCCTTAAATCATATTATCAGCGAAAATGAGTCTCCTCTTCATTCCTCTTGCTAAGCTAATACAGTCGTTGCATTCTTTTAGGCGCATTCATTAACCATTGGTGGGGAAATACTGGTAGCCTTGAAAAGAAACAAAAATGAAGTGCAATCAGCTTTACATTTTTAATGACTCATGCGCACAATTTTTGAGTGCCTTCCTGCCATCCTTTCCCCCCCTGTCTATAGTTGACCGTAGTTGTCCATCCTACAGCTATTTTGGGCTTGGCTCTGTGGGCGCGCCCTTGCGGCAGCTATGCAGACATTGCACTTGAAACACAATGCCAGGCTCGACATTGGTCATGCAAATACATAACCCCCACACTGAACCTCTCCTCTACACGTCCAACGAAACTGGGAACTATACTTAGTTGAATTTTTACTGCATCAAGTCTTGTGCTACGCTTTCTATACTACTATAAGTACTTATTTATACATATATATACAAGTATATATGTACTCGCAGTAGCAACGCGTTACGGCATTTTGATGTGAGTCTGTTCGCTGTGCTCTCTGCTTTATTCCTTGTGCTTTCAACTGCTGCTGTTGCTTTAATTTTTTATCGTTTTGAGGTTAGTTTGTAAAACTTTTGCTGTCATTGACCGGCTGCCTAGTTGGCTGCCTAACTACCGACCACAGACCGGAGGCGAGACACCGACACATCGACACACCGACACACAGACGCACACCAGCAGCAACTTGAAAATGGCGCCTAGCCTATGAATCTGACTGCCTACACTGTGCTTCGCCCCTTTTTGTCTGGCTAAGGAGGCAAACTACGAGTAGTATGCACGATGACTGGCCAGATCGTCGTCCGTGTCCTTCAACTAACTTTGGCGCACCGGTTTGGACATTCACTGGCCATGGCTCCCTACCTCCTACCTCCCCGCTGCCTACTCTGTCTGTCTATTGGCACAATTTTGCGGGGCGCGTCGTCGTTATTGCTTTCGACGGGCCTGGCCGGCAAATAAATTTCGACTCAGCCAACCAAGCAACCAAACAACCACTCAAACACTCAAACGAACGAACAAGAGTCCCATCCCATAGTCCATCCATACAAAGTGCTTTAAATTTGTATAAATAGTGAGCACGTTTTGGTTTTTGCTGTTGCGCCTTTTGCTGCCATTGCTACTAAATTCATTCATAATGGCTTTTCACCCCTAACCTCGTTTTGCCCCACACCCAAAGCAATGGAACCGCCCATTTATAGTGTATATAAA